TTCATAGGTCCGGTTTCATCTACTCCTTTGATATTTGCCTCGAGTTTCATCATCCTTCCATCAAGAATATTCTTACTTAGTTCTTGAATTNCTTTGAGACCTTCTTCAATGTTGTCCATTCTTGATTCCATCTTCTTAACAGCACCATCTACGTGGGTAGAGATCTCTTTTTGTAGCTTCTCTGCCATTNGCTCGATTGTAGATGCAAAGTATGTCTTCAGGACGTCATGGTTGTTGCCAGCTGTCACTTTTGATATATGTTTCTTTTTCATAGACATACCTTCTCCATTGTTTATTTGCTCATCTTCTCCATCTATCAGTCCTTTATCTTCCCAAAAATGTTTCTCAAAGGCTTGATCCGAGCTTCCAGATATAAGCAACAACATACTATCTACCTCCTCATCTTGCACTTCATTAGCCCATAAATCCTCCATAACATTTTCCATAACACCTTTGACGAAAACCTGTAAAAAAAATACTCTAAACAAATTAGTATTCATCTTGTCCACTATTGCACAATCAAAACCAGGTTGACTAATAAGAAAGCAAGCAATCAAACTAGAGACTTGACTACAAATGAAAAGATGAACGTAAAACATACCGCTTCTCTGTATTGAGGAAGATCAAATTTACATCTTTTTCTCGATCCCTTCCATCTCNAGAGTGGTGGANACTCCATCATATCTTTCCTTGGGTTTCCACATTTCTTACCAATCGCAGGAATAGCTTCATACGCCCACACCTGCAATACTTGGACAAAGCCGTTGACAGAATATGAGTCGTTGCTCAAATCCGGCTTAGCTTGAACGATTGATTCAATTAGATGTTGGAAGGCTACTCTTCCCCATGGATATGCTTCAAACTTTTCACGGTTAAGAACTAATAAGGCTGCTTCTGCAACTATTTCTGTCCNCGGATGACGAGCTAGCAAAAATCGACATACCAAAAATAAATAGACCAGTCTAATCCTATCTCTACTGTTCCAATCCTTGCAATTCATGATTTTTTCTTCAATTAAACTGTAAGATGGTCCTCTGTTTTCCATCAACCCAAGTCGTGTCCTAAACAGAGGATCATCCTCCACATTAACATCAACANGATAAGNTTCACAGTTTAGTCCTGTAATTATNTGAAACTCTTTCAAA